ATTAGCAATTACTCCACCGGCCTCGCTCCGTTCCCACGGCTCTCCGACAGAAAAAAATGGTCACAGTATATATATATATATATATATATATATATATATATACACATATTTGATATATTATATATTTTAATAATTTTATATATTATATATATAAACTTGTTTAAGCAGTTTATAATTTTCATTCTTTGATAAATAAAATGCTTAAAAGAATGGCATTTATTTAAAATAGAAGTCTTTCACTTTTGATCAATTCAATACATCCTTGCTTAGTAAAAGTATTAAAGTATTTATAATAAAAAAAACAATAGGACATAATATTCACATATGCTGTTCATAGGGGACGTATTGTATTAGACCTACAGTTACAGCATGAAATATTATTTAAACCTTACTATAAGAAATATTATTTAAACCTTATTATTAACATTTTTACATAACATTTATTTATTTTATCTCACAATTCTGACTTTTTTTCAAGCAAATGCAAGTTTATATCTCCTTATTCGGACTTTATAACTCGACTTAACTCAAAAATAGTGAGTTTGTCAAATATGAGGGAAAAAAGCCAGAAGAGCCGAGGGGAAAAGAGAGAATGACGAGTTGTTTTTCCTTATTAGAATTGTGAGACATAATCTCGGAATCTCTTGTAATATGCGGAGAACATTTTGAAAATGACATCTAATCAATATAATTTATAATCTTTTTAAACCTATCTATTTTGTACCCTATCCGTGAAATTCTCTAGCCGTAAAGGCTATCTCTATATAAAGGGTTTTCTGCAACCATGATGCGCACGCATCCTGAATGTTTACAAACCTATAATTGGTCTATAGGCTTTGGTTGAAGATCTGCTGAACTTCTTCTAATGATACCTGTTGACGATGTCTGCAACTTGTGTGTGCGCACTGGGATTATGTCTCTCTCTGACACTGGGCAGAGACAGAAGAGGCTCCTGGCTGCCGAACCCACTGTCTTCATACATGTCTGTGAAGAAGGGATCCTCTTCCAGCTCCCTGAAGGAGAAAGACAGTGAGAGATCAATGATAAGTCACTATGAGAAATAAGAGAATCTGTGTTCAGTTTCTCTGCTCACTCAGACTCTTCCAGAACATCACTCTCAACTCCATGTCTCTCGTCCATGACCCCTGAACCGGGCAGCCTGTAGCTGTGCTTCTCAAGATTACGCAGCACCAGATTGGTCAAGATGCTCTTGCTGGGCTTCTGTAGAAGCTCCTCAAAGAGACGCAAGGTTGTGATGCTGATCTGAAAAAGGGCAAAAGAAACATTGTAACACGCGGTGACGCTGCCAACCGTGAAAATTTATTAAAGGGATAATTCACCCAAAAATGAAAATTACCCCATGATTTGCTCATCCTCAAGCCATCCTAGGTGTATATGACTTTCTTCTTTCAGATGAATACAATCGGAGATATATAAAAAAATGTCCTGGCTCTTCCAAGCTTTATGGCAGTGAATGGCTGTTGATTCAATAGTCCAATAGAAGTCCAATAAAGTGCATCCACCCATCATAAAAAAAGTACTCCGCACGGCTCCAGGGGGTTAATAAAGGCCTCCTGAAGCCTTGCTGATATTCAGGAAAGTACATTGCTTGTGCAATGAATATAAAAACATAAAAACTCATACATGGGTATTTTTTCTTTCATTGCTTGAATTATAAGGGCATTCTAACTGCATTCTAATAAGCTTCATCGCGCAGTGAATGCTTTTGGACTCTCAAGACGTGTTTGTTTGTTTTTTGCAAAGTAGGTGACATACTCAATAATTTCAGCTCTCCTACTACCGTCTCTGAGTCCCTCACAGTCATACATACAGCACAATAACATTATGTCAGGGGAAAGTCTATTAACTGCTTGTTACAGTTCCGAGGTCAGATTGGTCAATCTGCGTTATTTAGTTCGTAAATTATCATACATAGAGAATTTTAAAATTTCATATGTATGATAAGTTTTACATAATACAAAACATTAATAATCTAAAGGGGATGGTAAGGGGGGATGGTGGTTTTACAGAGGGGATGCTTTTTGTCTTTTTTTGCCATCCCCCCTCAATTTGAGCCCTGGACATAGCGTACGCAACGGTGAGAGGTGACAAACGTAGAAGCACAGAGGAGACAGCAAAACAAAACATGAACAAAGTTTTAAATATGGATATTTTTCTTACGCAAATGCATCGCTTCGCTTCAGGAGGTCTTTATTAACCCCCCAGAACCGTGTGGAGCACTTTTTATGATGGATGGATACACTTTATTGGACTTCTATTGGATTACTGAATCTTAACAGCCATTCACTGCCCTTATAAAGCTTGGAAGAGCCAGGACATTTTTTAATATAACTCTGATTGTATTTGTCTGAAAGAAGAAAGTCACACACATCTAGGATGGCTTGAGAGTTAGTAAATCATGGGGTAATTTTCATTTTTGGATGAACTATCCCTTTAATCATTTGGCCCAGTTACCTCGTCTGAGATGTGGTTGCAGTTTTCAATAAGGCGGTAACGTAGAATGTGTGTGTGTGTGTCCTGTTGCTTTTCGCAATGTGTGTCGTTGCCAAGCAGAAACTGAACCAGTTCCTCCAGGAGCGCAGGAGAATGTATGTGACGTACAGAACAGGACAGCAGAGCAGTGTGTACCAGGATCCCAGCCTCTGACCTGGACAACCAGAGTTTAAGAAAAATTTACATCACTCTTCCTGTCATGCTGCACGCTCACAATTCTGATGAATGTTTTCTACTCACATCTGAAGCAGATGAGGCTGAATGACTCCTTTAAGCCACTGAAGGTGAATTGCTCTGGCCAATTTAACACCAAGTACCTACAGGAAAACATACATGCATAATTATGTGCAATACGTTTATAATTAGTATGACACAAAAGTATATTAAAACATTTTTGAGGTTGTTTCAAGCTAGTGTACTATTAGCAATTTTTGGAAACAGGAAAAAGTATCTTACACTCAGCAGTCAATTTTATTCAGGACATTTTTCGAACTAAAGCAAACACACATACACGATCAGCACAAAAATAATGATTTTGTCAAACCCTTGGTGCTTCCTTGGTGAGCTCATTGCAGTAGTCCAAAAAACAGAAGAACCTCTGGACGTTCTCACTGCTAGGAAACGACTGGCTCTCCTCTGTACTGTCCTGTGTGAAATGATCCCTGCAAAACCAATAACACATCTTCAGGATGAATGTTTACAATAAGCAGATAAGAAACAGGTCCACAAATAAAGTAAGTGTAAACACTTCATCGCTTGATAACAAACACACACCTCCACTGTGCGCCGGAGTAGCTGTGAATGTCTGCAGGGTCGAGTGATGAGGGTATGAGGCAGTAAAGTTCAGTCAGTCTCTGAGCGAGTAGATGACACAGTGGTGTTCCCTCAGCCAGCAGATGTCCAGTGTCCTCCTGTGGTAAACTGACCAGCAGCAGCAAACTCTCCATGGATCTGAGCATAACACGACTTTTCTAAGAGCGAGAGGCACAGAGAGTCTCATTAAAAACAATGATTATGAACTCCAGTGCTCTGTGTACAGCTGTCTGGCCAACTCTTAAGACGTGTTCAAACACAAGATAAATGGCACAGAAGTTTACAAATTAGATTTTACACAAAAACTATCCACACCGAGTTGCATATTTGCCATTTTATACTTGATAATGAAAGTGAAATTCATTGGCTTTAATGCACAACACATCACTAAACTATAAACTGTATTTTTACAAATATGTTGCAAACAATTGTATTTTATTTAATGTTTTATCTAGCAGAGAGTGACAAGAGGGTGTAACTTAGGCATAATTTTTGAGGGTCCACTTCTCAGAGTGTATTGCAACCTAATTTTTCATAGAAACGTTGAGTGCTTCATTTCATGTCAAAATCTGGTGACTCTACTGTACATGCTGTCGAAAAGTTAAAAATGGTACTTAAAAGTGTACAAAAATAAATTGCTCCAGATTCGAAAAGTAGGAAATAAACAAGATAAATTACCTTTCTTTAATTTCTTATTTCATTTAATTTCTTATTACTTCTTTAAAAACAATGAGGTTGTGGCCATCTTCTAGGCCTTCACCAGACAAAATTAATGATTACTGATCAAGCAAATAAATTTAACAAACAAAATGTATATTAATAATTAAAAATAAATTAAATACTTTATTCTTTAGCAAGCTTTTCTTTTCTTTTTTTTTGATAAACCAAGGGGCCAGAAAAGCTGAAAGACAAAGATTTTAAATAATGTATTTTTAGGCCTGTCAAAGTTAACATGTTAACCTAAGATATTAATTCAGTTATTTTATATTATTATATTATATTACATTGTATTATTATTATATTACATTACATTATATTATATAATATTATTTAGTTGAATGCAATCATTTTAATTTATAACTTAATTATCATTTAATATTGCAATTGTGAAATTATTTTACTTTAGCGCCCCAATTTTAGTTACAATTAAACACCAAATGTGCATATAGTTTTGTGAAAAATATTAATAACTAAAATATCTCTCCTTCGTTGTGGTGTACATACATTCAGGATTTTTTGTTTGTTTGTTTTTGTTTTATCTACATATATACAAGTCTTAAACAGCATGCGCTGCAAGTATTTTAAAAAATGTTCTGTACAAATATTCAGATACAGTCATCTGTGGGCTCATTTGGGATGCATTGTGTAATTTTAAATTAACTTGGTTAAAAACTGAACTTGGTGTAAATAAGCCTTAAGAACTTTCTCCGTTCACACATTCTGTTTAGCTGCACATCCAGCCTGTCGTATATCTCTTCACGATGACTCACCTGACTTTTCCCCAGGTGCATGAGTACAGGGATAATGCCTGTGGCTGTCTGAGGTGAGCTGGAGGGATGAGCTCCACTGCGGGCCGAACAGGAGGAGGTAGCGTTGGAAGAGGGAGGAGGTGGAGAGGGAGCCCTCTCAGGACTGGCGGCTGCACTGCAGCCCTCCTCCAAAGCCTCGTCTGAGGTAGAGCTGCACCTCTTCTGAGAGTCTTTGGTAATCTTTGCGATGGAGATGTAGATGTGTTCGTTATTCATTTATCACAGCTTCACATTCTAAATGAGTTTAAATGACAGTCAACACAGTGGTGAAAGAGGACATGATGAAGTACCTCAAGGATATAGTTGAGGACATAAGGGTCTTTTTTGACGCGAGTGCAAACAGCAAATAAAAACTGAGACTCCTCTGTTTCAGTCTTTGTATCAGGGAGTCCACATAAATGGATCAGTTTCTATAACAGAGAGTGACAAAAAAAGAAAAATGTATATTTGAGTGTCCACTTCACAGTAATGTAACCTATTTTTTCATTCAAGCACTGCAGGCTTCATTTCATAAAAAAAAATTGTGATTCTACTATATATGCTATCCAAATGTTTAAATTCTACACTCTAATAAAAATAAAAATCTTGGTGATAGAAAGTGTACAGAATTAAGCTCTGAAAAAAATTAAATAAAAAATAGATGTTAAATTATAAATAATAATATGTATTGCTGTTCACTGTTATAAGTGGAATCATTCGCATAAAAAAATTATATAATTACTTACACTACTGTTCAAAAGTTAAGGGATGGCAAGATTTTTTTTAAACAACATTTTTTATTCAGCAAGGATGCATTAAATTAATCAAAAGTGACAGGGAAAAAAATCTATTTATAATAAATGCTGTTCATTTGAACTTTATATTAATAAAAAATAATAATATATTTTTTTAAATGTATCACAATTTCCACTAAAATATTACGCAGCACAGTTTTCATCTTTGATAATAATAAGAAGAAACGTTTCTTGAGAAGCAAATTAGCATATTAGGATGATAATGAGTAATGATGTTGAAAATTCAGCTTTGCATCACAAGTATAAATTACATTTTAAAATACATTCAAATAGAAAACAGATACTTTAAATTGTAATAATATTTCACAATATTACTATTTTTACTGTATTTCCGATCAAATAAATGCTGCCTTGGTCAGCAAAGGAGCCTTCTTTTAAAAATATAAAAAAATATTACCAACTCCAAAATTTTCAAACAGTTATTTTGACACAAAAGCACAATGTTTTAAACATTTTCACACAGCTCTTTTCCATATAGTAACAGTTCCACTTCCTACTGATAAAGTCATACCTGTACGGGCCGATAGACATTGATTAAATGCAGCACAGGTTTCTGAATCTGGCTCAGGACTTTAGAGAAGAACAACATCACTTGTTGACTCATGCCAGGAGGATACTGCACAAAGAAGTAATATTTCAGTTCATTTACAGCTTTAAATAGCTTTAATCTCTGTCTTGAGTCTGTGTTTTCATACCTGTGCTTTTCCCAGCGTGCAAAGTGTCTCTAATAATTTGTGCTGGAGCAGGTACTCCATGCAGGGACCCGTTTCCTCTCCTTGCTGTGTCTCCTCATACACCAGGATGTCCAGCATCTGTCTGAGCCGCCATGGGATGTCTGTCTGCTTCACCGGACGAGACTCATCTTTGTGCAAGAGACAAACATACAATTGAAACTTTCTTTTCATTTCCTCTTTTTTTTCCCTAAGGTATGGCATAATTACATTTTTTGTGTTATAATCTCAAACACAAAGTAAATTACTGCTTAACGTGAATCTACACTTTTACCTGTTGTTTCTATGTAATAGTTGGTTATTGCTTTCCAGTGATCCACAAAAGAGTCCAGCAGGTTTATCGAAGGCTCGCTCTGTAAGAATCAGAACAGAATCAACAGTGTTTTACTGCAGTTACACTTTCATTACTATTATTAATTCTATATGATCATTAATATCAACACTGAGTTCCTATAAATGCAAAATTCTTCACTGTGAAACATAAAGGTAGTCCTGAGTAATAAGCAGAAAACAAGGCTAAATTCATAGAAAATATTTATATTTTATATACACTACTGTTGAAATGTTTATCATTTTTATATATAATGCAATAATGTGTACAAATAATTGTTTTGCCACTTGGTTTATTTTATAATGGCAAGGCATTTTAGGTGTGGTTTAGGTCTTCAAATATTTTATGTATGTTTTTTAAGTACATTCTTTCCTCTTCCTGTCAGAAACTTGTCCAGACCTGCTCATTTTTCCACCTTCCACGTGAACAAACTCTCAAATGACAAACCCAACAGTGTGTGGTCAATAAAAAAAACTCACATATATCCTTCAATATGTATAGAAATCGCATCTATGGACTTAATAAACAATATTCCAAAGCAATCTAGTGTTTAGTGCACTATGTGTTCAACCACTGTAGCACAAAAGCTCAACTTAAGACAATGTATATATCTTCATATAAAGCACTGAACTACATGACAACACGCTGGCAGTCATTTTAATCGCATATTTCGTTGATATACAGCCGTCATATACGTCTGTAGCATTTCAATAAAGTTTCACTGTATCATGCAACAGGTTAAGAGTCTCTTGAGTTGTTCTACATTAGCTAGGCTAAGCTAACAGGCTAGTTTGAAGACATTCAGAAGTCAGTGTTTACTCACTGTTTCCAAGGCCTGCTGCAGAAAAGCCGTCACTTTATTAAACATGTCCATGGCTGAGCTTATCAAATTCTGTGTGAAGTCTGGGACATCTTTATATCAATTATACAGCGCTGGTGTAGTTTGTAAACATTGTTTATGTGGCTGCTGAGCTTGAGCGATTCGATCTGCCTGCAGTAGCGATAGTGAACACTACTGACAAGACAGCGCACACTACAGAGTAGACTGGGAAATATCACAAAAAATAAACATTCACTTTTCAATTTAGGCAGCATTTATCTCCATATCTCAACGTTATCAAGTGCACCGCAAAAAATTTTTTTGAAATAGACTTGATAAACACCATAACACTAACAACATAAGGTACCTTAATTTAGATTTAATGAGGGTTTTAATGAAATTTCATAATGTGGACCGTCAGCATGGTTAATCTTGTGGAAAAGAAGTGTACTTAATTGTGTTGAGTGTACATTTGTAGCGTACTTCAAATTTTAAAAATATATTAGTAAAATATTAGTACTTTTAGAATACACTTTAATGGCTGCTTTTTTTCTAACTACTAAGCTTATTGTTCACAGTATACAGTGTGTAGTTTTGGCAAAATAAAATAACTTTAATCAATAAAATGTGCGTCATAATTATGTAAATACATGAACGTTATTCAGAACAATATTGTAAATTGTACTAGCTTGCTTTTTTATCTAGATATGATAGATATTATCTGTTACTGTAATGTTAGCTAGTGTTTGGCAAATCAGTTGAGCAAGAATCAGAGATGATAGCGCACGTACGTCTGCAAGATGTCTGTTAAAGATCGCTTCATCTGGAAAGCATCTGCTGTGTACAAACATCTGATAGATAGGCCTGTAAGATGTCAGTTTTACAAACATTCTAAATCATAAACATATTAAAGACATCTTCTGAACGTCTACTTGACATCTGATAGGAAACGTCCTATAGACATACTGCAGATGAACAAACACTCTAAAAGTCTTGCAGATGTAAATGCAGACGTCTCCGTGATGTACGTGTGCTGTCAGCTTTCTACACCTCAGTAGTGTTGTCAGAAATATCGATTTTTCGATATTTATCGATACTGAAATATATAATACTTGTTTTTGTTTTTTCGCAGCATCGATACACCGATACCAGCTGCGCTTTTTCTCTCTCTTTTGTATATTTGATAAAACAAATTGAGTCCCTTAGTCCATTTTGAGCCCAAGCACACATTTCCCATTAATGACCCAACTAGGAACCACATGGGGAGCCCACCTGAGTTCACCCATGTGGGTCCTATCGGGGTCACCCTACATAAAGTATACTTAAAAATATACCTGAACTTTACTTAAGTATACTTAATCAAATAAACTTGAAGTATACTACTTTTTGGTAAGGGCACCCAAGTGGGCCCCAGATAAGATGCCCATTTTGAGCCCATGCCCACTCTGTACCCCTGCAGCCCATGTGTAACCCATGTGGGCCCCACATAAACATGTTTTCTGGGTTCTCTCTGACAGTGAGTTCACACACACACCACAGTGTAATGAGAAGCATTTGTAAACCTGTTGTCCAACAAAATACACATTTAATAACATATTTCACTTCATAACGTCAGTCAAGTGTTTGAAATAATTTCCTTTTGTGATCTGATGTGGCTTCTTAGCATAGAATGAGGCTGAAAATATATTTTATTTTATATATTCTACTGCAACACATGCTATGTCATTTAGCATTGCATTATAAATCGACTTTACTTTAAAATTTAATTCCCTCTAAAGAAATTTGAATTAAACATATGCAAGTCCATACGTTTTTCTCCAGCGTTTTACCACCTCAAAAAGTTTTCTTTAATGTAAAAATATACCTTACTGTCATGATCTAGACTTGTTTTATTTAGGCTATCTTTCAATAAAAACCTAATATTCTATGCCCCTAATGTTGTGGCGGTTTTTCCTAGTGGTATCAAAATATGGTATTGAATATCAGTATTTTTCAACGTCTTGTATTGAATTTAGAAATTTCAGTATCGTGGCAACACTTACCTCAGTTAATCACTCTGTCCAAATTAATATGTTAGCATTGTAGCACATTGGCTAACAGCTTACACAGATGATAGACAAATAAAACACAGACAACGAGAAATGAAATTGAAATGCTAGACAAGAAGCACAAAGAACATATAAGCTATAAAAACCAACCTGAAATAGTAGACCATCCGGGGACTTTTGGCATACTGTTTTCAACATAGGTTACTATGCTTTGGGACACACTTATTCTAATCTCACATACGATGTAGGATTAATAGTATGAATGTTGGGACGCAGAGCGAGTTTTAAAGGCTATAAGTAATTGTGTGAGTAAAAAAGTCCTACTTAAGTGGGTTAAAAAGCACTCTTAATTAGAAGTATTTAAAGTGAGTGTCAACAAATACATTTTCATCTGATTGCAATTGCCAGAAAACATTGCGTTCAGTTCACGCTTTTGAAGTACGTTCTTTTAAAGTATATTATTTCCATAATAAGTATTCTTTTTGAAAGTATGTTAGTGTACATCAATCCAAGAAGCTTTAAAATGGTCAGCTGAGTTTAACTTGTCAATCTATATTCCTTTAACAGTAGAGATCCCCACTGTTCCTGTTGAATGAAATCATCAGAAGGCACGTGTGTTGTTTCTTTTGGCCACATTGTGGCAACCATAAATAATACAATGTGATACCATTTTACATCACAGAACATTAAAATGCAAACTCTTGTTGTTTTGCACTACAGACAGGATGCTAACAGCATTGTTTGACATCCTCAGAATGACTCTAGAGAAAACAAGCAGGAAAGAAGAACAAGATTCATAGCTTTATCCAGCAGTACTTTATTTATTGTACAAATATGTTCATCAGTGGTGGTTGTTCTCCACAGTTATCTTTTGTACAGCAATATTAGGCCATCCTTGTCTTAACCAAGCTACCAAACTATACAGAAAAAGCTTCCTGAAGTGAGTGGGATCAATACCAGCAAAATCTCTTCAGCTGTAAAGACAAATCAATGCTTCATAAAAACATGGATACAAAAATACGGTTAAGGCACATCATTAGAAAAGCTCAACACTTAATATACTGCATGTGCATTGGAATAAAAAAAGTATAAATTGATAAATTACCACAGATTTGTGAGTCTTGTGAAAATAAAAAAAAAGAAAGAGGTAATTACTTTTCAACAATCAATGATCAGTTACTGATCTTCACACTGACGATTCCTGATTTTGACCATGACAACGCCTTCCTGAAAACCGCAAACACAGTTTAGGACGGGTTCAAAACAGTGCAAAGTGATTTACATAAGGATTATACTGTGCTATGATGATAAACATAAAACTCCACTTCATTTAAATGTGCCACTCTCTAGACATAGAGTTTAATTTCTAAAGAAATGTACATCAGCATCATCTCAATAGACATTTACAAATGTAAAATGTTTTGCAGTTGCTCCCTAACAATCTTGCAACCCTGTGTGTGAAGATGAATGTTTGCCTACGGACAGAATATGCTGATAAAGAGTTTGTGTGATCGGTTCTTTTCTTAAACGTACCAAGAACCCCCCACAAAAGAACAAAAAACTTTACAAATCTAAATCACTGCATGATCCACATGCTTGGAAAGAATATTATTTTCAGTGCAATATTATATTGACAATATGAGGGGAATGTGGGAGAGTCTTCTCTTGATGTCAACCTGAAGCTTTGGTTTCCCACTCCTACAAACACAATCAGAAAGAGGTTAAGGGTCATAGTGGTGTTAGTTTACTATTATATACAGTACTATAATAATTTTTAGAAATATTTTGAATTAGGGTTTTTTTTTTTCAGTTGTAATTTTACCTTTAGTTTCAATTCAAAATAATTGAATAATAAATGAATAATAATGCTTTTTCGACTACGTCTGGAAGTGGTCAAAAGGAGATGAACTCAAAATGTTTCAGCCCCCGTTTACACCTGTATTCAGTGTTGTCCACTTATGATCAGATTGAAAAAAACACATCTTAATTCCAGGTGTAAACAGGGCCTTAATCATTAGTTTGATTTCTACTGTGGAATACAAAAGAAAACATTTTTGAGAATGTTTTAACTGTTTGTCCGTTTAATAAAGTCAAAGTCAGCTTCATTATGAGTTCATCTACTGAGTCATCTGGAAATCCAATACAATCATAAATTCATGAGGTAGTCTGTTCATTGTGCTCATGCTGAAGGAATCTTACCTTCCTCCTCTGGAAGACCCTGCCATGCTCCATAAACAGGGCAGATGGAGCTTTCTTTAGGGTGTTTTTTGCCGAGGCAGTTCTTCTCAAGAGTGGGGTCAGAAAGCCCCCCTTTAAGAGACAAAACCAGAGGTGAGTGTTCAAGAGTGAGTTGTTGTTTCCTTTTATAGGATGAAATGGTGAAATATCCTAAATGACTCAGACAAGAGTCACAGCCACACATTTCAAAAGTTATCAGACTCCTCCAGTGAGTCCACTCATCATTGCTTGATGGAGTAGGGTGTAATGGTGGGTTAAAACAGCTCTTATCTGAGCTTTATTCTCTGCTCCTCTGGGAGGAAGTGGCTCCCAATCCAACCCACTGTAATTACTGAACTCGCAACGGCAGCAACAACCGACAAACAAAGCACCAAAGAGGACAAGTAGCCAAGAATCTTTTAATTTGGAACAAAATGCGGAAGATATCGAAAAATACTGAAATGAACTAAAAATGACCCAAATCAAAATAATCTCTTCTTTGTCTCATGTAATTGATCTTGCAAATCAACATTTGCTTGTTGCAAAGTGTTGCAGTTACACAATCCAAACAACAGATGGCAGTGTAATAACAAAACTTCAGGGGTTCAGTTATCTACTGACACACAACTGCCACTTTAAACTGCTCTTATCAGCCCTTACAAAATATTATGGTATTACCATGTTTTTTGCCATGTACCAAGGTTACCGTGGTAATATCATTAAGTAAAACTAAAGCCACAAAAAATGTGTTACTTGAAATAAAACAAATGTTAATACACTGCTCCGGGTGTGTGTTCACTGCTGTGCGTGCACTTGGATGGGTTAAATGCAGAGCACTAATTCCGAGTATGGGACACCATACTTGGCCACACGTCACCTGACTTTCACTTAAACTTATTTAATTTCAGCTAGTTGCTAAGGCAACAGTTCTCACTTTTATTTAGTTAGGGTTAGGGTTAACTTGATGTACTAAGATAACCAAAACTGAAATAAAAATGAATAAAAACTATAAAGACAGGTAAAAAAAAAAAATGTAAAGACATTAAAACATATATAAAAATGCTAAAAATGAAAAAAAAAAATGACTTAACTTTAAAATTAAAAAGAAAAATATATTTTAAAAAAAGTTCAAAATATAAGTTAAAATGGAATTGTATCTCAGTGATACTAAATTGATGAATTTGCATAGTATTCCAAGGAAAACAATGTGCAAGGTACTATTGTAAATGTCCAAACAAAACAAAACAAATATGGTATAACCTTGGTTCTGTTTGGAGTACCAAATGCCATGATGCATGAACATGGTAATCATTCAGTACCTTGATATAATATTAAAGTGCCACAGTATTATAATCTGATATTATCACTGTACGATGCTTCTGGCACAGTGCTTTTATTGTAAGGGAAGGATGAGTCGGAGGGTAGTTACCTGTGCTCGCTCAGTGCAGAAAGCGAGGGAGCGTCTGAAGGAATACCGTTTGGCTGGCTTCGTCCCCACGCTCACGAGGTTGACCTCTGACCCCGCTCGCAACGGCACGCGTCTCTTTCCTGTCAGGTCCAGGTTCTGCACACCCCTCTCAATCTCATACAGTTTTGAACCTAAAAACACAAAAACACACATATAATATACACTACCAATCACCTATGATTTCTGAAGTCTCTTATGCTCACCAAGGCTGCATTTATTTGATCAAAAATACAGCAAAAACAGTAATACTGTGAAATATTATCGCATTAACTTTAAATAACGTATTTTAAAATGTAATTTATTCCTGTGATGCAAAGCTAAATTTTCAGCATCATTTCTCCAGTCTTCAGTGTCACATGATCCTTCAGAAATCAGTATAATTTGCTGATTGCTGCTCAAGAAACATTTCTTCTGTCTTATTATTATCGTGATGCATTTTTTTTAGGATTGTTTGATGAACAGAAAGTTAAATTAATTAAAAATTATTTGAAATATAAATCTTTTTTAACATTATAAAAGTCTTTACTGTCACTTTTGATCAATTTAATTAATCAAAAAAATTAAAAAATTTTAATTTTAAAATGTACTGTATGCATTTTTTTTGTATAAAAGCCAACCACTGTGATATTAACTTGTAAGCTGAATTTTTTTTGTGTGTAGTTTCAGTTAAGCTGTAATCACTGTACATCATTTGAGATGACAATGTGTGGAAATCTTCTAGGGGTGGAACAGTTCAACTTACTCACGGTTCGGTTCGTATCACGGTGATTAAACTGACCTGGAACTACCTGTGCAGTTAAACGAATTTAATCAACACCTGCCAGCCAATCAGAATCGAGTATTCAGACAGACCATGGCATAAATGCTCATATTCCATCATACGGCATTCGCATTGAACAAGAGTGAATGGTTTGTCCACTTTTTTTTTCATCGCTGTTGTTGTATTGGCAAGCCAGAATGTGCATCCATCAACAGAAACATATATTAGCCGAACCCTGTTTGTTTTACGTGTTATTTATAGCAAACCATAGGCAGAGAGAGCTTAATATTTGCGCGTGTTCTGAGGCGCGGGTTTGCGCCCTTTGGATGAACGCACGCACAAATCTTCGCGTCCTCTGGCTAAGACTGTCTCTTAAATGTTTAAACTGGCAAAGCGGAGAACCGTACGGTTCGATTTTTTTCCACAAACCGTTCCACCCCTTCTTCATGACTTTCAGAAAACAAAAAAAAAGAACGGAATTCCCCTCTAATGCATGTGTGTCCACTGTTGGACATTGTAAATAGGCATATTAAAATAGTTTAAGTATGAAAAGTGTTTTAAGAGAGTTTATTAGATTTTTCATGGTTTTGTGGATGTTGATTAACTTTTCTACTTTTCACCCTCTCTTAATCTCCTCCCTGAATAGAGCATGTTCTGGAAAGTTGGGTTCAAAAAGAAAACATGATATTCTCATGGTTTGACTGAAGAATCTTAGAAGATGTGTGTGTGTGCCTGTGTGTGTGCCTGTGTGTACACCACAAGGCTACATCCCTGCACTGCTTCCAAAACCACACTGGAGAAAAAAGCGCCAGTCGCCGCTGATCCCTACCAAAATGGGAGCAAGAGTGTGTTGCCCTCCTCTGCTGAGACAGTCCAGAAACACAAAGAGTCTAAACCTCACCTCACATGCCCTATAGTACACAAGACTATAAAACACACGCTCACACGCTGACGCTTTCTTACTAAACACAGCTCATACACTAGCATTCAAAAGTTTAAGGGTCAGTAAAAACGAAGTGTTTTTTACAGAAATTAACACAGCAAGGATGCATTACATCAACAGTAAAGACATTTATAAAGTTTCTATTTCAAATAAAATATGTTCTTTTAAACTTTCTATTCATCAAACAATCCTGAAATTTGTTTTTACCACAGTTTCCACAAAAATATAAGCAGCACAACTGTATTCAACATGATGATGATAATAATAATAACCGTTTCTTGAGCAGCAAATCAGAATATTAGAGTGATTTCTGAAGGATCATGTGACACTGAAGACTGGAGTAATGATGCTGAAAATTCAGCTTTGCATCACAGGAATAAATTATATTTTTGTTGTTTTAAACTGTAATTGTATTGCAGTAATATTTCACTATATTACTGTTTTGATGTATTTTGACCAAATAAATGTAGCCTTGGTAAGCACTCATTCCTTCATTAAAATATCTTACCAACCCCAAATGTTTAAATAGTAGTATATGTCGACTACATTGGATTTCCCTCCTAAACTCATTTCCACAGTTAAAATGCATATCTTTAAATGCCCTACTGACAGCACTAGGCCGCTTCTTAATCGATCCTAGCATAAATATCATTTTGCATGGCACTTTGTGGTAAATATTTCCATGATAAATACGATCAAATATCTCCACTGACCATCACCACACACGCTTGGCACAGATGGTATTTCCTGCTAAATTGCATTTGACAAACCTGATGAGAAAAACAGCACCGAAAACAGATCCATAATCATGATCAAATACATCAAAATCATTAGAAACACCACATCGTGTCAGTTTGTGTACGAAAACATCAGAGCATCTAAACATTGCCTAAGAGTGTAATATTATAGTGTTATTTAGGTCAGACTGGCCTTGTTAAGCAAATAAAACATGCGAAAAAGGCACGTCGGCACAAAATGATGCTCTGCGATGTTATGCAAATCCATAAACCAAGAGCATGGAAAGTTGCACTTAGCCACTATATAATTATTTAGCACTGTTCAAATTAAAAGCAGATGCCCCTGAATTGTCAAGTATTTGCTGTGGATAAGGGAGTGATGGTTAGGAAAGCCGTATGTATTTCTTAATCATATGTTTTGAGCTCAAGAGGGAAATTTATGTTTGGTCACAGGAGCGGCCGGTCCTATAGGCGATATAGGTGGTCAACTTCCAACGACCATTTGCATCTCTCATTTTATTGAACAAATGCATTACTGTATTCCCAAAGATTTTATGAGAGAATATAATGAGCTGGAAAGACTGATGATATGATGATGCTGATCTGCTTAAGGCAATGAGGTTAGAGTGGATTCAAAATTCCCATGAAAGCAAAAGGAGTTTTAAAATGACTTTTACAAGCAAGTTGGTGACAGAGTGAGTGGTACCAGGCAATGAGGGCAGAAAATGGGATGAAATGAGAGAGAACTATAAATGTACAGTATATTTTGATCTTAATGCGATTCCTTTCTTAAAAAAGTGCAACTCAAGTTTAGCGACTGGGGTAATATGACTGACTCACTGTGGTTGCTGAAGATTTCATTATTGCTGTGGCTGGCAAAATCCTCGGATGACACCAATTCTCCGTTTCCACCAGTGTAGGGTTTCTCAAACTGAAAAATGGATGGAACAGATGTACAAGTTATAAGTAATGCTAGTTTGTCAGAGTAGCAATGAACAATGAATTATCCATGAATTCAAAACAAGTCAACGTAAAATCAAAATTGACTCTATTTACA